AGTAGCGACATCTATTCTATGGGGCAAAACATCTTCAGCAGAATAATTTCGATCCTGGAACAGGACTGCAACACTACTTAATTCTATCCTGCGTTTAGGAACGTAAGGAAATACGAAAAGGAATTTAGCGAACGTGTAAATGTGACAACAAACCTCAATAAACCTTTTAAAAAACCTTTGTTCTTGTTGCTGGACATGCACTTTTTAAAAGGTTGGAAACACCAGTGAATGATCACGTTCTACAGAATTTGTCACTGAGGCTACCAAGTGCGTTATAATTTACTTGACCAAAAGGTTTTAAAAATCACGTACAGAACCTTTGATGAGCCAGTCTGAAAACCCAGATCCACCTACATTTTCCATAAAAAAATCCAAAGAATTCTGCTACATACCACAAGGATGAGAACCTACAAAACCTACTAGAATGAATTTTACCTTTTGTAAACTTCACTCAGAAACTTAATATATGCCCAGCTAAACATTCTACCTACACTCAGAAGGGCCACATCTCTTTTGAAGATATTTTACTGAAAAAAATTGCTGACCTATGGCCAACTACATGAAATTTCACTCCTGTCACGCTCAAAGAAAAAAAAATATGGGATTTTTCCAATGACATAGGAAAAATCGTGTCGCCCGGTACAACAGAAAAACATTGACTCTTGCATTCATGCTTAAATTCATTATTCGTGCCTGTATGTCGTCATTTGGTGAACTGAGATTTATTTTTAACCAGAAATCTTTCCAAACAAGGCAGACCACGACTATCCCCGGAGTGTTTTCACATTTCTCGGGACCGAATAAAAATTCCCTGAATGGGGACGGAATTAAAATTTCCTTGAGATGTTTTGCAAGATTTTGCCAAGTGATTGCAATATAAGCTAAACTTGGGAGTCACTTTTCTTTAGCACGTGTTCATCACTTTGTTTCCTAACACCTGTTTGCATAATAATGGATGCCTAAAGCTGTATTCTCTCTTCTTTGTTCTGTGTTGTTGTTTTTTAAAATAATCTTCACCCCAGGAGCCTGCAACCGAGGAGGCACGTGCCCTTGTCGGATTCGAACCCTGGACCCTTCAGTCCGCAGGCCGCCGCTCTACCCACTGAGCCACGCGGGCCGGGCTGCACCAGCATTCTCTCTTCTTAAGTTAAACCTACTATTTACAGTTCCGTGAAAACTCCCGATATTTTTCTACTTCACTCTATCTTGAAAGCAAATCCCTTGGCACATACTGACCTGCGCTTTTTTCCAGCAAATGCCAATGCAGGGAAGGCAGGGGACCGAGAAAAAATGCACGGGGACAAGTTGAAATAATCGTCCCTTTGTTTAAGGGCCATGTGCTTGTTCAAACAGCACGGACGCCCGCTAACACGTTTCCATTGAAATAAAAATGTCTCCTCTGGCAGCGAAATGGTAACAAAATTAATCACATTGAACAGAAAAGTGGGGGAGGGGGGGGGGGTAAGGCCCGCTCGGATAGACAAGAAAGCGAAAAATGTTCAACGCGCTCGGAAGGCTTCCTACGAGCGCCTTTTCACTTTCTCCAAAGCAAAAGCTGCTTTTCTAAAAGAGGAAAACCATTCGCGGGGAAGGGCACGGGAATCCCAGCTGCAGGGTGCGGGCCGCCGGGAGGAGGGCGGAAAACCGCCCGCAGCGAGACCCTTCATGGAAGTGGCCGCCCACCGGAAAGTCCCGGCCAGAGCGCCGCTCCCTTCCCTCTCCCCTCCCGCCCTCCGCACGCCCGGCGAGGAAGCGCCCGGGCTGCGCACGCGGCCGGCGTCGCGACGTCCACGCAAGTCGGCGTCGGCACGCCGGACGTCAGGAGGCGGGGCCGACGCTGTTGACCTGCTGTTACCAGGCGTGCGCTCAGCCAATCAGCTCTCGGCGCCGGCGCCGGCCGGCCTTTGAACTCGGCACGGCAACTTCCTGCTGTTTGGCGAGTACACAGTGCAATGCAGTATGTCTGTCAGCGCTGCGGCACAAAGGAACAGCCATTTTGTGACTGAGCTGGACCTGCACCAAGATGCCAGGGGCTCTCGGGGCTGCTGTCCGCGCTAAGTACCGAGATGCCTTTTATTTCGGCACCAGAGAACCAAAAGGAGGAGAGGGGAGGAGAAAGAGGGGTTTTGGTATTTCAGGTTCCAATTCGCTTTATTTGCCATCTCCTCCAAACTCCCGATCCGTAAGAATTATCAGTGTCATAAAATGGCTGCCACCGAAAAAACTGACTTTTACAGTCCACAAGCAATTGCAGTTAGCATTTCTCAACAGCCCCGGGGTTTCAGACTCGCTGCTTAGAAGCTGATTGGAAAGCAGGTGATTTTCACCACACCCCGGCTTATCAGAATAAATCTGGTTCAAAGGCAGACGATTTGGAGATAAACTTAATAAACGGTCTCAGTTCTTAAAGATAAACTGCGAGGGCGGAGGAGCCCTGGAACACAGAACTCCGTGTGCACACACACTTCCATTCTGGTTCCCCTCGCTCCAGCTTCCACCCTGGGATATTACCGAGTTACCCCAAAATTTACACACGTGTGGGGTGTGCATTTCTGTGCAGGCCCACCACGCCCACCACGGCAACTTTGTTTTAAATATGTAGAAACTTTACAGGCAGCCAATACTGTTAAGATCTTACTTCTGCAAGGGGCCTTCTGACTCTTCTAAAGTCACGCTATACAAAGTATATATAATGTTATGCTTAAATATTAACCTGGAAAGAATAAGTTACATAATGACTGGCAAGTACTGCATTATTTCCAAAAGGAGGGCACGTGCACTGTCCCTTCAGGTTCTCAAGTCATTCTCCAAGTTGCCTTGACCTGCAAACTTCCACCTGCCTGGCCTGCAAACGTGGTTTTTGCAGCAGACTCTGGGACACGCAAACAGGTCCTTCGTGGGGGAAATTCTGGTGGATTCAGGAACCAAGGAAGAGTTAGGGACGGCCTCCTCTACCTTAACCCACCGAAAATAAAAAATAAACTCCTCCAATAGAACACCAGGGAGTCCTGGAGCTTTACAATTTGAAGAGGAAGTGATGTCATAATTATGTGCATGTGTCAAGGTATTCAATGTAGGGTATCTGTCACTCAAGTAAATGTCAGTCTCCATGGTCTCATCAAGGAGTCTTGCAAACGTTTTTGGACACTCATCAGGTACACGAGTCAAAATGCACTTGCCAAGTGCATTTAAAAACACAGCGCAGGCTTCTGAAGCCCCCACTGACAGTAGGCAAGTGCAGGACCGCTTCAAGTAGATTTCCAGGTGAAGTAAAT